ATTCTAGGCGCTCAAAGTAGAGCCAGTGGGAGATGACTAGCTGTTTAGGCTATTACCAATACAAATTTTTTGAGCGGGTGCATTTTTGTCGCTTAAAGGAAACAAAATCTGACCTCCTTGCAGCACAATTTTGTTTCAGTACATGAGCCACATTTGTATTGACACAATTGTTGGTATGAATCCGCCTGCACAAAATTACCGACGAACCGGCCATAACAGCATCGCCCTTATATTATTCCTCCGCCTTCATCATCGATAGCGAAAATAATTGCAATTAAACAAATATAGACTATTATTCGTTTTTGTCGATACAAGAGATATCTTTTGTTTGATAAGATTGTGATCGTTCTGATTCGATTTATATCACTATCGTTTGCGTCGCATGCAGGTAAGTGACTCCCAGACTAATTCGCTCAATATTAATATGGTCTGCGATCGATAATGAACTCTTGGCAACACTGAAGCGTTGCGAGAGTTTGGTATGGTCTGGAGCGAACTCTTGGCAACACTCGGTTTGGTAATAATTCGTTGCTCATTCAAATAGGCTTAGCTCGGTGTTCTGGGAGGACAAAAAATATATAAACCATATACTCTCAGACGGGGGGTCGGACCCCGGTCGTCCGCGCGCTTTTTTTTTCGGTTTTGTTGCTTTAGGCTTCAGGCTTTGTTTAGTCTTCTACCAACTGACAGGCGGAAATCTTGACCATTGGATTGTCAATATAAAAGTGTTCTCTGCAGCTGGACTGTTAATATAAAAGTGTTTTTCGCAGTTGGAGCATTAATACAAAAGTTTCCCTAACAGTTGAACCACTAGTACAAAAGTATTCTTGACGGTTGGAGCATTAATACCTAAGTGTTCTCACAGTCAGAGCATTAGTACAAAAGTGCCCTTCGCAGTTGGAGCATTAGTGGGAACGAGACTAGAGCATTAGTACAAAAGTGTTCTCGTAGTTAGAGCAGTACAAAAGTGTTCTCGCAGTAAAGCGTTCTCGCAGTAAAGCGTTCTCGCAGTTGCATTGTGAATTGGTCTCGTGCGGCCTCTTGAGAATGGTGATACGTGATGGCTAATTCCAGGAAACCCTAAAGTATATGCGTACAATTTGTAAAACTAAACCGTTCAGCAACTAGGACATTCCCACAATGACCCCAATCAGCTGCTGATCTTTTTGGTAAGGCCATCGCTAGTTTGGATAATATATTAAATAACATAGGGTACATTCATCGCGCCATCCGAGAACGTGTGCTCGACAGATGAAATTGCACTCCCATGGGAGCATACTGAGGATAATACCATACCAAAACCGCCACGAGGCAAACCCAAACAAGCAGTGATGGCACGTGCCGTCGCCAATATGCAAGAAGCACTTGCAATGCTGTTAGCTCGCCAGTACTCAAGTTAATACCTGTGACCCTAAATTTTTGACATTCTTGGGGCTTGTCTTCGTTGTGTTCAGCAACCACCTTCCCACTTTCTTCTTTGTATTCAGCTAGGAACTTGAGCAAATTTTTAAACGCATCCAAGAACCCGGGTATATCCTCCCTCTTTGCCGCAATCTCTAGAGCGGTCGCTGTCCCTTCGTCGGCGTATCCCGGCTCATTCGGGTCGAGCTCGCAAAGATTTTCGGCAAATAGTTCCAAAACCTTGAGTGTCTCTAAATCTCCAGTCTCCGCGGCTATGTGGAGTATGTTACTCGTTAGTTTTTCGCCGCGAACGTTAACGTACTCGCCAGCAAAAAAACACTTCGCACCGTATTCGTGTAAAACTTTGAGGACCTCATGGCCGTTGTGTTCAACTGCGTATTTCAGGGCCGGTTCAGCCACACGGTTCAGCCTATCTGGATCCGCTCCGTTTTCTAGCAGAAAACGTGCATGATGGTGGGCATCATAACTCGCTGCGTTCATGAGTGGTGTGACTTGGTCCTGGTCGCCTATATTCGGATCGGTTCCTGCTTGGATAAGGCTTCTACCGATAGAAATGCCGGCTTCAATATCCTCAAATGAACTCCAAGCCCAAACCGATAATGGTAGAGCTCCTGTGAGATCCTTCACATTGTGGTTTGCGCCAGCCGCCAACAGAGCCTCAACACATTCAAGATGGCCATTTTCAGCGGCTCTGTGCAGTGCTGCGTGACCGCGCTTATCTTGAGTGTCCAAGTCTGCTCCATGATGAATCAGGATCTTGACTTGCTCGATATCCCCTCTGCTTGCTGCCCACCATATCGGTGTTCTGCCCGATGCATCTGGGACATCAATTGAGCTTGTGGAGCATTGCAGTTGTTCATCAAGGCTGCCCACGGCAACCTGAAACACAATCTTGTGAATATATGTGAACTCTTCTTGTTCGATATAATCGTTGATATCGAACAATTCGGCGACCGCTCTGATTTCCGGGCTGGGGTTTTTGTTTCCCAAAACGAGGCTACAGGCGTTCTGGGCAGGAGTCCTATGCGCATATTCCCGACCGTTAGAACACCACGGTCAGTTAATTGCGGTACTAAGGAAAAAACACAAGGTTCGGACTTACATTCCAAAATCATTTTTTAAATTTGGGTCGGCGCCCCATTGGAGCAAGAACTGGCACACCTCTGGCCGGCTGTTCACTACTGCATACTATTCAGAGGTAAGCTTAAGCATCATCACGTGTTACTAATCCGCTGCCTTTCGCTAGCGCCACAGAGCTACTTACGTTTAACGCCGAGACACCGCCCTCATAATCCATATCATTCGGTCTAGCCATTCGGTTCTGCAGCAAAAGTTTGATACGCCCCAAGTCGTTCCACGCTGCTCCCCACATTATTGTTTCAGAGTTCATCCTGAGTCGGGCGTGGGTTGTGAGTCGTGCGTTTGATATCCCCTGATTACTGACGTTTGCTGCGCCGACAAGAACCCGGTTCATCCACCACGTTGGGAAGTAATATATGACATGTATCGACGACTGACTCTGACCCTTGCATTTCTTTTGCGTACATTTTGTAGTCTTGAATACCGGCGATCCTACGTAACCGATAAATAAGAAACCGAGTATCTGACGGAAGATGGCTGGAGTGGAAATGCTGCTACGACGATGGCATGCGCAGAGACAGTACGAGGAGCAGCCAACTGCCTTAGCGGTAACTTTAAAGTAGGTACTCGTGCTATTTGAGTTCGAATTGGTATTCTGAAACGAAGCGCTAGTGATATTCGGGCTTGAATTGTAAAATATCTGTATCAGGTCCTGAACATTTTGAAGGATCTGGTCCTGTTTGTCGATAAGGGTCTGCGTAGGTTTTGACAATTGATCGACCGATGCTTGTAACTGAGATTGCGTATGTGTTAGGTGAGTAGTATGATTGATTAACGTCTTTTGTGACTGTTCTATGTTGGCCGATTGTAGACTAATTCCGGTAACGGATAGCTCGATTCGGGATGAAGCATCTCTGATTGGAAAGTTAATTAAAAATTATTAGAAAGAACGAAGCTTCTGATGGGAGAGACTTTAACGCTCACAAGATATGAGTCGATAATAGTAATTGCAGATCCGCCCGTAACTGCTTTATATTATCCTTGTATCTAATCACGTCGTCCTGACGTTTGAGCCAAAGGAAAACCAGCTTCGTCCTCCCCGAGGATTGAGCCGTAGCCACCTCATTCAAGAACTTTTCCAACTTTGATATCCATTTTTGTGCCCTATCCAATATTTTTATCAGATCATCATCCCATTTCAATGGCGCCTGTGTATTTCCAGTCGCTACCGCCACAGATGCTTGTGCGTTTTGCGCTTTGCGGTGTGATTCCTCAACACGAGCCAGGAGTATGAACAACTCGTTTAACTCGTTGTTAAGCGACTGAACCTCCACAGGAGCCTTGTGAGATGTTTGAATAATTAAATTTATTGTTTTAGTACATGCCGCGCAAGCACCCATCACCGCAATGATGCTCGCTGTAATCGATAAAGGGTCGGCCATTTTGGGGGAATGATAGAAAGCAGCGATGCGTTTTTGGGAAGGTGCGGTTTGGGATGGAGCTAATGCGCAATAGGGAGGTGGAAATGTCTTTGGTATTTATCATTATCGATTATCGAGGCGAACGATGGTACCGAGTACCCCGCCGGTGACAGGCAGCCGGCAGCCGTTTGAGCCTCGCAGCCTTGCGAGCTGTCATCACCAGCATTGTACAGAAAACCAATAAGAGCCAAGATTCATGGCAAAGGAATGAGGAGTCAAGGATCCGATCGAAAGGAAACCAGCATAATCAAACCCGCTGTAACGCTTATTGTTTGACATCGATGTACCTCCCAGGTTTGAATGCTGGACACGGCTACTGGGTCCGTGACAACTTCAGTTCTAACGCATCTTCACGAGATTTGAAAGGAAAACCCCCCCAAAAACTCTTAAAGCGATAAGTTTCCAGCATCGAGGCGTTCGAAACTTTTATTATAGGATACTTTACAGGGTACATCTCCTGCGATGCGGGTTGAAGGCAGACGCCGATCATTTCCCAGACCTCGTTTTTACCTCGAGATCAGTTGTTAATTCTGACAGGGCTAACGCTATCGAGGCTAGCGCTTGGATTTGAGGCTGAGACCTTGGCTTTGGCTGGGCATAAATGAAGACGGCGAGGCTGATGTATAGTATGAGTGAGAAGGTGGTATTTTTGTGATTGGTAAAGAGGATGTTCATTAAAAACTGTAGAGAATTTATAAGCCCTATCGATAATGGATTTTCATTAAAGGAACAAATAGGTTTGAATAATTAGTAATACTGTGAATATGAGATTGAATAGAAGTTTTTTTGCTTTCCTGATAATACTAAGGAAATATTATTACAAATTTTTTGATCCTAACTAGATCAAGAGCGCTCGCAAATCGTGAGCATATTGTGTGGTTTGTACTCCGTACATTTTTGTGGAAAACGCTTTATGTTTTAGTTGTCAAACATATTCCGTATTCGGAGAACATATTTGTTCTCCCGATTCGGTAACGAAAGTCCGGCCCAAAACAGTCCAAAACAAACCAAAAAAAACTCTCAGGCGGGGAATCGAACCCCGGTCGTCCGCGCGCTTTTTTTTTTGGTTTTGTTGCTTTAAGCTTCAGGCTTTGTTTAGTCTTCTACCTTCCCCAACTGACAGGCGGAAATCTTGACCACTGGAATATCTGACTTTATTGCTTTTGTATTAGTAATACAAAATTGAAAGATCTGGTTAACTAACAAAAGTATAATCTCAAATCTAATAATAATATAAATATTAGTTAGTTTTGTTTCCAGAAATATTAGTTTAAAAATGATATCTAGATATTAATGTAAAAGTATTATGGTATTGCATTATTAAAACATCTCTTAAAATAAACAAATTAAAACTGTTTTAAACTATTAAACCACAAAATCAAAACAAGTTTGCGATTTTAATAAAATCTTCTAATTTTAGTCTAATTCATTTATTGGAGTATAAAATACACATTACAATACATTTAGTAATTATTAAAACATTGTCCAAAAGTATCTCGTAAGCACTTGATTTGTAATAAACTCAATATACACTACAAAAATGATTTAAGGTATCTTAGGCCGGATATAACAAAATTAGTCTAATAAATAACAAAATTTCATCAATGTTTACAGATTTTTTAATAAAGAAATATAATTTAGTAATTTTTGATTGTAGTTAAAATTATTTAATAAATTTTAACTACCGTATCTATTCATAAAATAATAGAGTTTTTTGCATGTTACAATATTAATTAATAAACTTTTTTATGTTTTTGAGATATATCTGTAAATTTATTGTAGTATATAATTGATTTTAATGTTTTAATAATATTACAATTTTGCAATAATTTTATAATAATATCAAGTTATGTATTTTTCTGTATTTTATTAGAATATTATTTTTAAAGCAAATCTTTTATTTGTATTTACAGTTTATCAAAAAATTGTAAATTATGCAAATTTTTATAAAATGGTTTTAAATTTTTTTTATTTTTATTTTTACTTTCTCTTTTTTACTTCTTTAAATAACATACATTATTACGATAAAAAACAGTAATAATATGATTATTTATTAATAAAAAAACTTTATATTTATTTAATATTTTAAAAATAATTAATATATAAGTAAAACAGATAATATTATTTTAATTTTTCAATTATATATTTTAAAACTTTTTTTTTTTTAATTTTAGTATTAAATAAAAATTTATTAGCAATTAAATTTTAGGTTTTAATAGAAAAAAATTATTTTAAAAAAATTTAATAATCAAAAGTTAAATATATTAATTATTATTTTATTTATAAATTTAATAAAAAAACTATTTTTATTATATTGTCACGCCCACACTATATGACTAGTCCCGATCAGGCATATGGCTTGGCGCGATAAACATGCTTCTGATTCCACATCCTAATTTTCTTCTAAAGAATCTGGTTTATTTTTACTATAAATATTTGTTTAAAGAAAATAAGTCAATTTCCTACATTATATAAAATATATTATTTCTATAATATATTTGGTTTTATTTGATTAGTGGAAATCTAATTTATTAGTCCATCCCATCTTTATATAATATTTATTATAATATATATATAATGAATTACTACTTACTAGAAAACTCACCTCTTAAAAATAAATAATAAGCAAACAGGCAAGTTATAATTTTATATATAATTTATTTTTTATATGGAAATTTTATTATATATTTAAGAACTTTTTAAATAATGGCAATTCTCAGAATCTTTTTTGGAATTCTATTAGTCAATTTATTAACTATTTTTACTAATTTATTACCCAATAGTAAAACCTTAAAATAATCTTATAAGTTTTTTATTTATTTTATTATATTATATTTTTTATATATAACTTTATTAATTCTACTAAATACTAATTGTTTTCTTTAAAAAATTTGAATCAATAGAATTAAGAAACTAATAAAGTATTAAACTTATTTGGGAATTTTATTAAAAAAATCTAACTAAGGTGTAATATTTTGATTGATTTAATTTTTAGTAAGGTGAATAGTATATATTAGTATAATAAATAATTAATTATAATTTAAATAATAATAATAGTAGTAATAAATATAAATTATTTTTTAAAAAAAAATCTGGAACTTTTTTAAAATTTAATAATAGTAATTAACTATAAAAAATAATATATATAAACTCAATTATATAAATAGATTTATAAACTAAAAAGATAAATTTTATTTTTAATCTAGTATTAATTTATTTTCTTAATAAAAATTCTTATATATAGATATTAATAGTAAGTTTATAAGAATTGATATTTTTATTAAAACTTATTAATATTTAAAATATAATTTAAGTAGTACTAAATTTATAAAACTAAAAAAAAAAAAAATACATATAATATATTAGAAACTTTAGTAAAGATATTTTTAAAAAATTCTCTAAATTATTAAATGATAATATAGAGAATAATAAAAAAATTATAAAAGAAAAATCTAATTTTTTTTTATTATAAATTCTTAAAGAATAAATTAAGGAATTTTAGGCAAAACTAGTATAATATAATACTAAGGGATTTAAAATTTAAAATAAATGAGATGAATTTTAAAAAAAACTTAATACTAAAATATTATAAATTAATAATTTAATAAAGTTTAATAAAATTTTTAAAAAATTTAATTATTTTCTTTAATAATTTAATATTTATTTTTGATTTTAAGCTTTTTGATTTTTTTATAATAGTATTAAAATCTTATTTATAAGAATATATTTTAATAGTATTATTTTTTAAACCTATATTTATTATTAAAACTATATAATGATTAAGGAAGAAGAAAAACAAAATTTAAATGTAGTTAAAATAATAATAAATTATAAATTTTTTATTATTTTTTTTAAATAATAATATGGTAAAGATGATAAGACTATAAAAGTTTAATAATAGATTATTATTCTTAAGCAAACTAATTTTGTTTGTAATTATTTTTAAAAATTCAATAAACTTGCAATTTTAATTAATTAAAATAAATCTAACTTATATTGGAGAGTTTGAGAAGGACTTAAAATAAAATTTTAATAATATATATATATTTATGAAAAAAAATACTAAAATAAAAGACTATCTACTATAATTTGTATAAAAATACAATAATATATTATTAAAATTAATGATATTAATTTTAAAATTTATATTAATTAATCTTTTTATAAAAAAAAAAAAAAATATAATAATAAAAATAAACCAGATTCTTCAAAAAAAAATTAGAATACAAAATCAGAAGTATGTTTATCACACCAAGCCATATGCCTAATCGGGGCTAGTCATATGGTGTAGACGTGACATTTTGTTTTTCTTTTATTTTTAATATTTTAATTTTAAAATATTATTTATTTCTTTTTTTAAGGGTTTTTATAATATTTTAAATATAAGGGTTTTTAAGTATTACTGTTTATTGAGCTTTTTATATTATTATAATATTAATTTATTAGATTTTTTTAAATAATATAAGTATTTTGATTTGATTTTTTATATATTTATTTTTTTTTTAAGAGAGGTTTTTTGACTTTCTGGTTAATGTATTGGCTTTAATATTAGTTTTTTTAAAAATAAAGAATATTTTAAAATTAAATTGAGATAAAAATTTTATTTATTTTATTTATTTTTATTTAAAATATTATTTAATTATAAAATATTTTAAATTTTTATAATCTATAAAAATATATATTTAAATATGAATATTTATAAGGTATTACACCTTGGTCAGGTCTCCTTAGCAGGATTCCCAAATAAACCTAATACCTTACTAGTTTTTTAATTCTATTAATTTAAATTTTTTAGAAAAAACAATCAATATTTAGTAGAACTAATAAAATTACATATAAAAAATATAATATAATAAAATAAATAAAAAACTTATAGAATTATTTTAAAACTTTATTATTAAATAATAAATTAATAAAAATAATTAATAAATTAATTAATAAAATTCCAAAAAAAATTCTAAAAATTACTATTATTTAAAAAATTCTTAAATATATAATAAAGTTTCCATATAAAAAATAAATTATATATAAAATTATAATTTATTTATTTATTTATTATTTATTTCTAAGAAATAAGTTTTTTGGTGAGTAACAATTTATCATATATATATTATAATAAATATTATATAAAAATAAAATAAACTAATAAATTAGATTTCTATTAATTAAATAAAATTAAATATATTATAAAAATAATATATTTTATATAATATAAAAAATTAATTTATTTTCTTTAAAGAAATATTTATAATAAAAATAAACTAAATTCTTTAGAAAAGAATTAGAATATAAAATTAAAAATATATTTATTATATTAAATTATATATCTAATTAGGACTAGTTATATAATATAAGTATAATATTATTTTTTTTTTTAAAAAAAAAATTTTTATTATATAAAATTCTTATACAAAAATATTTTGTAAATGAGAAATAGGGTATTTAAAAATATTAGATTTATATAAAAAAGTTTTGCATAATATATTTTAATATATAAAAATTTAATTAAAAAATATTACTATATAAAAAGTTTATTAAAGAAATAATCTTATATTAAAAATATTATAAATAATAAATTCTATATTATATATATAATTATATAAATATAATAGTATATAAATATAATTAAATTTATTAAAAATTAAAAATCAGAATTTAAACTTTTAAATATTTCTATATTTAATAATTTAATATATAAAAATTAAATATATTTAAATAATACTTTCAGATAAAAGTATATTAAAAAATAGAATTTCAAAATATTATAAAATTCAATTAGAATTAACAAAACTTAAACATTAAAAAAGAATTTAATAAATAAAAAAAATAAAAAAATTTAAATTTTCTTTAAAAATTAATTATAATTAGTATATTCAAAATAAACATAAATACTTTATTATAAAAAATTTTACAAAATATTTAATCTATATTAAACAAAAAAAAAGTAAATATAATATTATTTTATATAAATAATCTTTTAAATTCTATGTTTTTTCCAAAATTAACCTTAATAATAAATTATATTTCAAATATTTATTAAAAGAAAATAAAAAAGTTTTAAAAAATAACAATTCACTTTAAAACTATAAAAAAAAAAATTTAAAAAAAATAATAAAAAATAAATAAAAATCAAAAAATAATATTCAATTTTTAA